TAGGTGGATGGATGGGTAGGTGGATGGATGGGTGAATGGATGGATGGGTGGATGGATGGATGGGTGGATGGATGGATGGGTGAATGGATGGATGGGTGGGTGAATGAATGGGTGAATGGATGGATGGGTAGGTGGATGGATGAATGGATGGATGGGTAGGTGGATGGATGGGTAGGTGGATGGATGGGTGAATGGATGGATGGGTGAATGAATGGGTGAATGGATGGATGGGTGAATGGATGGGTGAGTGAATGGATGGGTGAATGGATGGATGGGTGAATGGATGGATGGGTGAATGGATGGATGGGTGAATGGATGGATGGGTGAATGGATGGGTGAATGGATGGATGGGTGAATGGATGGATGGGGGAATGGGTGAATGGTTCTATATAAATATTTACACAGATAATTCTCGGGTATATAAACCCCCCCCTTCTATAGGGCCACAGACCTCTATGGCAGACACACATGCTGTGGCCCCGCACACATACAATGACGGATCGGCTCCCCTCTCTCTGCATACAATGAACCGTCACACAAAGGATGGGTGAATGGATGGATGGGTGAATGGATGGATGGGTGAATGGATGGATGGGTGAATGGATGGATGGGTGAATGGATGGGTGAATGGATGGATGGGTGAATGGATGGATGGGTGAATGGGTGAATGGTTCTATATAAATATTTACACAGATAATTCTCGGGTATATAAACCCCCCCCTTCTATAGGGCCACAGACCTCTATGGCAGACACACATGCTGTGGCCCCGCACACATACAATGACGGATCGGCTCCCCTCTCTCTGCATACAATGAACCGTCACACAAACCATAGAGGGGCAGCCAACGTTACACAGCAACCCCTGCTCAACGACAGGCCCCTACCCCTCCCCGCCATGGGGGTACCCCCTTCCTTCCTCCTCCCCACCATGGGGGTACCTCCTTCTTTCCTCCTCGTACCCCATTCCTCCTCCTGCTCCATGGTGGTACCCCTTCTGCCCATCATAATATTGCCCCCATATCCTCCCTACTATGGTGGTACCCCACCTCCTGTCCATCATGGTGCTCCCTTCTCCTCCCCACAATGGTAGTAGCTCAATTTTCCTGCTGATCATAGTGGTGCCCTCATCTCTTCTCTGCCATGGTGGTGTGGTTCCCC